GGTCAGGAGGAGGGTAGTATTGTTCTGGGTTTGATGTACTCTGGCAGCCTGGGCATTTTAGAGGTGTCTGAACTAGGGTTTTTTGACATCAGTTTCTCAGCTGCTATCACAGGGTCAGCTCTACTGGCGTTAGCAACAGTGGGAGCACTAGTATAGACAGGGCTCCATGTATGGCATTGTTGTCTGACCCTGCTCAAAGCAGGTTTACATGACATGATGCGTAAAATGTCGGTGGCTGGCAGTTCCTTGAATACACGAGCACTCCAGCCATTGTTACCATTGGTGGAGCTGGCCAAAAAAAGTTTAGAGTTAATTTTCTTTGACTTCAATTCCTTTTAACTATCCAACCACAACAATGCAAACCTTTCTGAGGGGGAAAGATTGCTATTTTAACAAATATTCCATAATTTGCAGATTGCATGCAGCCCAAAGAAAATGCATGGTTATCTGCCTAGACAAGACATGAAGATAAAGTCAAAGAATTACAAAAAAGCATCACACAAGACATACAGTCCAGCCTGCAGTCAGAGGGGAACTCCAGACCAGCCTGGGGGCACAGACTATCAGGGTGCATTTCCATGTAAAGAGTGTGAAAGGTATGGCTTTATTATTAATCTTGCATTGTTCAGTGATTTCTACATGTCTTCTTAATTCAGTTTGTATTTATAAATAAAGCATTCTTAATTAAAGGAGCACCATTTACTTCAAAATCTAATGATTTTTTTTAAATGAGTTAAATGCATGGTGCATTTCTCCCCGAGCCACCTAGCCAATTTGTGTGATTTTATGACCATGTATAACTTTTTAAAAAATAATTTTTTCTCCCCCATTTCATCATGAAAGACCCACACAAACGGGAAATTGGCAAAGGTGAAACTGCAAAACTGACTGTGCACAAAGTAAAAAAATGAGAAAAAAATAGAGGAAAATGTTTTTTTCCCCCTAATCTCTTTCATGTTGTAATGTTAGGGGTTATTTCTAACTGTAAAAGGCAAAATGATTTCAGATAAAAATGTGATTTTTTTTTTTTTACAAAAGTTACTTATGTCCCTTTAAATTAATGAACCCTGAAGCTGTAGATTCATATCCGATTTCATCTGTAGGCTAACCCCTACGTTTTTAAAGGTTTCAGAGTAGCAGCCGTGTTAGTCTGTATCCGTAAAAAGAACAGGAATACATACATTTGTTAGTCTCTAAGGTGCCACAAGTACTCCTGTTCTTTTTACATTTTTAAAGAGATGTGTAGGGAGTTTAGCTCCATGGCTGCCATTGATATTGTGGGAGAATCATATAACTAAAAGGAAGTAGGTCCTTTGGCTGTTGCCAACCCATCCGTGATCGTCCCCCTTTCCTTGTAGGTCTATTTCCCTATCTGTTTTCACTACAAAACAAATGCATCTTTTACCACAATGCAACATTGCTTGTAGGTCCTGTTCAGGAGATGTGGGAATGGGACTGAAAAGGAAGAGACAGTAGTACAGCGAGGGACTGAGGTGTATTGGCAGAACTGGTTGTGGGAGGAGAATAGCAAGCCGTGCTTTTGGTCAGGATTGAGGTGCAATTGCAAAGCTGCCTGGGGAAGCTTCCATAGGACTAACCTTTACTTCACCATATGCTGGTCCCTCAAGTCCATGTGCGCCGCACACCTAAAAATTAAGAGGAAAAATAAAGAGAGTCTGTTCTGCTCATTATCTGGGGAAAGCTTTTGTGTGCGAGTCCCGTTTTATTTAGCCTTGTTAAGAAAACTAATAACTGGCCCTTGTTTTCTGTCAACTTGTAGGGTGTTCGACAGGATAAAAAGTCGGAATGCTCATATGAAATGCCACCGCGTGCAGGAGCAGATGGAGCCGCTGATAAATATTAAGTGGCCCATAAAACATTAAAAAATGAGCCAAAGATGAAAGAAACTAACTCAGACGTTGACCTTCTCCAATGGTAACTGGGAAACCACGCAGGGTATCAGTGGCGGTAGTCTTGTCTAAGCTTGGAAAATATGTCAATGTTTTTTAGCATCTGACCAGTTGCTGATCAGCTCTGTGCAGGGTTAGCTGACATGACAGTGTGCCCAGCCCACACTTCAGCTTATACCATTGTTGGCACTGCAGAAAAACACTCACTGTTTTTCCTAGTGCAGAAGCACCTGGTGAGGCTGGAAAGAAACCTCCACTTGAAGGTACTGAAAGGAGAGTTGTAACTGTTTGTATACGGTAGGATGCCAAAGCCTATTTGGATGTTTTTAGTGTTTAGCACCAATATAACATTGTTGGCGTCAAGTTTAACTATAAACAAACATTAAGGCATTAAATGCTCTTTACTTACATTAACAGAGAAAGGACGTGTGTGTTCAATTAAGTATGCATGCCTGGCATTAAATTACAATTATGCATGGTTGAAAAAAATATATAGTTGTTAATGACTGTAAAATAGCTGTTGTACAAATATGAGAGGCTCTGTACCTCTGCTTTAGTTTAATTAAAAAAAAAAAAGCCCTCTTGCCTCCATTTAAAAATAAAAGTTGGATGTGGATAGCCCTTGTTTCTTACCATCAGTTTATGGGTTGAGTTGCTGTTGTTAGAAAAGGTCAAAATAGGAAAATCAATGAGAAATTGCCATTGTATTTATATCTTTTTTGCCAAAACGTGATGGTCATGCCCTGCATTTCAGATTTAATATGTAGTCCTGCGATGATCTGTGCATTGTTATTTTGTATGTGCTCTCTGCATAGCTTATTAAATTGGGCTCTTGAGCTTGAGTTGTAAAAGTTATACTGCTTTTAATGGTTATTTCAAAACTAGTTATACCATGTTGGTGGAGCAGAACAGGGCATGCTACACGGACATTAGACTTGAGAGAATCAGTCTTATTTAACTTAACAAAGAGAATGTTAAGGGATGACTTGATTACAATCTATGAGTACCTAGGTGAGGAACAAATAATTAATAATGGGCTCTTCAATCTAGCAGAGAAAGGTGTAACACGATCCAGAGGCTGCAAGTTAAAGCTAGACAACTCAGACTGGAAATAAGGTGTAAATTTTTAACAGTCAGAGTAATTAACCAGTGGAACAACTTACCAAGGGGTCATGGTGGATTCTCCATCACTGATGATTTTAAAATCAAAATGGGATGTTTTTATAAAGATCTGCTCTGGGAATTATTTTGGGGAAGTTCTATGGCCTGTGTTATGCAGGAGGCCAATGGTCACAATGGTCCTTTCTGGCCTTGGAGTCTGTGAATCTGTGTACCTAAATATATGCTGGGCCAGCTTCATACAGTCATTGGTGGGTGAAATATACAGGGAAATCATTATCATTACTATAGCTGCTTGGATCTTAAAGTGCCTTACAGACTTGTCACAGGCCCAGTTAGCTGAGGCTGGGTAAAGGACAAACTAACACGGTTTGGAGTTTAATAAAAAGCCTGGCTTCTCTCAGGCAGAGCGAATGCTAAATTAAAACAAAAGGGCTTCATGCACCCAATAGCCTCTGTGGGAATAACACATTTGTAGGTCTTACATTCCCATGGGTAAACTGAACATATTAGTTAATTGGAAACTGCAAGTTATGGAGCAGGGTTTTTCTTAATTGCACAACAGAGCCAATCGTAGCAGAATTTTGTTTTTTACTAGTTATCTTCATATTGGCTGTGATACCAAGGAATTTTTTTTATCAGCTTAGACTATTAAAATGGAAGAAAAGGTCAATACAGCTGACCACTCTGCTCCTTTGGAACCCTGGAATTGTCTGTTGGAACGAGAAAGCTAATTTGTGCAGGAGACAGAACATTCTCAGGGCTCATCCAAAGCTGTGGAATTTGCCTCCACAGGAATTCAGAGCTACTTCAGACCTCACCACTTTCACATTCAAATGCAAACCTCACTTCTTCAACCCGGCCATCACAAATAATAACATATAGCACATCAGCCTTTCTTCCTTTTATTTTTAGTCACATGCAGTTTTCCCCCAGGGGAGAGTAATGGAATGAGAGCCACACATCATGACATGTCAGTCCCTTGTTTATTTTATCACTGGAAGACACTCAGATACTACAGTGATGAGAGCAGCAAAAGATCCGGCAACGGAACTAACGGTCTGTTTGATCTGTCATAAATCTTATCAGCTGTCTAGCAGTCACACTGTTAATATCCCAGAATATTTTAAAGCACCATAGCGGGTCGTAAATTATTGCACTGGTTTTGTCTATCCCTTTGTTTGCAGAAGCAATACAGTCTTGCAAAACTGCAAAGTTGAATTGTTATTGGATTTCTTTTGCTTGGACAGCAAGTCAAATATAACTTGGGTTTCCCCCCCGCCCCATCATTATGTGAGAACTGGAAAACAGATTTTGTTGTTGGGTTGGTGGCTGTTTTGCGAGGCTGGATGATGAAATCCTTCCTCACACTAGTCAAAATGCTCTTGTTAGAGCCTCTTACTAAAGCAGCAATGTTCAGGTCAAGGGCTTGACAAACATACCCATGGCAAGTAGGACAGTTTCCCTGGAAGTTTGCCCATTAGCTTCTGCAGAATTTAAGGTGTTATTTTTTTTAAAAAGGTTAAAGATGAATGTGGCGGAGCAAAGACTCACCAGCGCAGCGCCTCCTGCTGGTTGTCCAGGAAATTAGCTCTTTTCCAGCTCCAGAGCGCCCTCTGCCGGCTGATGTCTCGCCTGCTGCTGGCCCCCGTGTCCCTCCCGGAGCCCAGTGCTCTTTGTTGGGGTTCTGCCCACTGCAGCAACCCACAATCTGCCTAGGGGGACCCCCAACCCCCTATCCCTGCCTTGCCTCAGTGGCTACTGCCAGTCACCATCTAGCCCCCGCTCACTGGGGTGGATTGCAGTCTGTAAACCATCATCGGCAAAGGGGGGTTGGACCAGCTGCCTCTGTCTATTCCTGGGCCGCCCCTCTGCAGCCCTAGTACCCTTGTGGGCCCTTAACTCGGCCTGCAGCCTGGGGCTTTGCTAGGCTGGAGCTCCCCAGCTCCGTCTGCCCTTCCCCAGCACTGCTGCACCCTAAGTACCCGCCTCAGCTTCCCAGGCAGCCGGGTCCTTGAGAGAGTGTTTGTGTCTCACTCACTGGCCCTCAGCCCTCTTATAGGGCCAGCTGTGGCCTGATTGGGGCGTGGCCCCAGCTGCAGCTGCTTCCCCCAATCAGCCTAGCTTCCCCCCCTCGCCGCTACAGCCCTCTCCATGGGCTGTTTTAAGCCCTCCAAGTCGGGAGCAGGGTGACCACCCCGCTACAATGAAAGAAAGCTTTCTAGCCTTACAACTGCAAAGGAAACCCTTAAAATATGACCAGCTGTCTTCTGAGCGTGCAAACAGAAGGCCTCGAACAGTGCATTGGCATGACTTGCCTCCATTCATCTCAAGGTGCTCTTCACTTTGAAGCCCTGTCACTCACCCAAGCCTTGTCTACACACACAAGTTTCACTGGTTTAACTAAAAAAAGGTTAAAAACCGGTTTAGTTAAACAGGTGCAAACCCTGTGGATACCCTTGTACTGATTTAAAACTGGTCATATTGATTTAGCTTGTGCCTGTAAATTTACCAACGCAAGTTAAATTGATATAAACCAGTTTAAACTAAATTAAGAGTGTCCACGCAGGGGCTTGAAGCAGTTTAAACCCGACTTTAATTAAACTGATGCAAAATTACTATGATCCAATTCTTCAGCCGCTTAGACCAGTGTAAGTCAGGAGTATCTCCATTGAAGATAGTTACATGGCTTTAAAACTGGTGTGTGAGTGAAGAATCAAGTTTACGGGCCAGGTCATCAGCTGATGTAAATTGGCAAAGCTCCATTGATGTGTTGTACCAGCTGAGGCTCTGGCCCTTTATGTGGAACTTCTGGGGGCTTTTCTGCTCTCTCGCCTCTCAACCAAGCCATGCACCCTCTGAAAACTGGCAACAGACAGGATCTGTCCTCCAGTCTAGTGACCCAATGGATGATGTGTTAAGGGCTGCCCTAAGTGGACAAATTCCATCTGCTTCTCTCTGTTACCAGGACCAACCTGTTGGTGAAGAGGAGAGTAGCTCTGAGGACTGAAACTTTTAACATCAGTGCAACTTAAATAACATCTCAAAATAGTGAACAGTGGCCTGTTTCATAAAAACTCACAGCTTTTGACTATGTAGTAGTAGGATCCATGCAGCAGTGAACAGTCTTAACATTTACATATATTAATATATTTGACCTTTGTTTTGTAAAAAGGTTGCTACAATGAGAATTTGTATATCCTTTAGGATTTTACTAGCACGCCCTAGGGCCAAATTCAGAGGTGATGCTAAGAAGTCCAAATTGGTAGAACTTAACATTTTCTTTCCGCTCTGGAATTGTATTGTATTTGAGTTGGATGAAACTATCACAAAGTGGTTACAAAACCAGTGTTGTACATGTAGGGAGGATTTTGAAAACACTCAGCATTGGCTTAACTCTGCTTCTGTTGACATCAAAGGATAATTTCAATGGGAATGAAGTTAGGCAGACACCTTTCCAAAATTCCACCGAGAAGGTAGGGAAGCGTTAAACACTGTTATACATCACCTCTGTACTCAGCCCCACCCCCACTGCATTTTAATACTGGGCATGCAGATTTCTGCCCCGCATCTCATTACTGTTTCTCATTGATTCTAAAAAATCAAAATTTTGGTGCAAGAACAGAATTTGGTCCAGATTTTCAGGAGTGAGGACTGCTCTCCGATGCTCCAGGGTGCTCTCGTTGGCAGCAAAGGCCTGGTCTGGCAGCACAACAGTGGCTGGTATGGCAAGGTACTGCCTGCCTAATCTCGCCACAGCGGGGAAGCGGTGCTCATTGGTTTTCCACCAGTCCAGGGGGTTGGTGCTGCGTTTGCAGAGAGGTTCCACGATGTAGTTCTCCAGTTGCTGATGGATTTCAGGCATGCTCTCCGTTGGATCTTTTCCCAAAAGGATGTCATACATGCTCTGGGACTGGCCATTTGGGCCTCTGTCTTTATGAGCAGACAGCTGGCCCCCTGCTTCTCCTACCTCTGCTTTGTAATCTGAGTTCGGCACCCAGAACTGGGTAGAAGGCGGGGACTGGTGGTTGAAGACCTCCGACAGCATATTTTTGACTCTCTTATGCAGCTCACTCCTCAGGTTGGGACTCAGGAACCTCATCTCCTTGAAACGAGGGTCTAGAAACGAGGCAATAATCGCAGGGCTTTCCAGCACCTTCTCATCCTCTGATATACTCCAGCGCTGCATCAGCTCTGACCTTATATTGCCTACCACCATCTTGATGACGTCGCTGGACTCTTCTAACTGCTGCCCAATGGCAGCGACGATACCGTGGATGCAAGGCATCAGAGAAGAGATGGAGATGTTCTGCTCCTCACGCAAGAATGATGTGGCGATCTTAATCGTCCTCATGACCGGCACCAGGTCCTGCAAGAGCTTCCACTGGTGGTCAGCTAAGTTCTGCACAGCCAACGTCCCTTTGGGATGTTCCTCCAGCAGGGACATGATCGCCCATTTGAGGTCCAGGAGGCTCTCGCACATCTCAATGGTAGTTATCCAGCGAGAACCCACATCCATCACCAGCTTCAACTTGGTCTTGTTGATCGCTTCCAGCTTGCTGTTCAGCGAGCAGGTGGCTTTCGCATCCTGTTGGAAGTAGCTCACGATGCCCCGGGCAGCAGTCAGAGCCTCTTGCACCTGCTCGACCTCCAGCCCTGCCTTGATACACAGGTGCAGAGTGTGGGCAGCACAGCACAGGCTGGTCCAGCCATAAGCCCTCTTGAGCGGCTGCGAATTCATCACTGTGTTCTGCAGGCTGTCGTGCATCACGCAGAAAATGGACTTGTTCGACAACCCAAACTCTGTCAGGATGCTGAAGAGCTTCTCCCCTAAATCGCCCTCCCCTTTAGTCTCATGCACTGGCTGGGTTTCCAGGATACATCTTGCCCGGCGCCACTCCCCGTCGATGAAGTTGGCCGTGATTGTCAAGTATGTCTGGTTGGGCTGGGACACCCAGAACTCCACGCAGATGACTATGGACTGGGCTGTTTGCAAATAGCGCTCCAGGTGCTGCTTCACCACATTGTATCTATGCCACAGCATGCTGGAGAGCTGAATAGGAGATGGGAGGGTAAAATTGGGCTCTAGATACCCGATGAGGAGGCCAAAACCCTTGTCTTTCACCACGGAAAGAGGATGGAGGTCACGAAATATCATCTCAAGCACCAGTTCCAGAATCACATCAGTCCTTGGTTCCGAGCAGGACGCGGCATGGTACAGGTAGTTTTCCGGTGTCATCTGCCGGGACCTCTTTATCATGTTCTCCTGAGCCATGCAGTCAGACTCGGAAGCCTGGTCATCCTTCAGCTGCGAGAGCAAAGTATCGCGAATGCTGTGCTTCCTCACCAGGTGCTCCCGCATGGTGGTGGTGCTGTTGTGAAAGGAGAGCTGCTTCTTGCACACGTTGCACTCGACATAGGCATCTCCCAGCTTGGTGTAATAGTTCCACACCTTGGACTTGCGGCGGTCAACATAGAGGGAGGTGCTTGTGCCATCGTGATTCGCACCTTTCTCCCTCTTCCTCCTGGAGGCTGGACCGAGGTTGGCTGCCATGTTGTAGGTGTTGAACACCATCGATATTTCCTCTGTGAGGAGGAGAAATTCGCAATTAATATCAGGCAAAAAAATTGCATTAGTTCCCTCCCAGCCCCCGCAAAGTGCAGTAGTTTCATTATTTTATAGATTTTCATAGCGTTTCAGGCCTGAAGGCACCATTAGATCATCTAGTCTGATCTCCTTTATATCACAGGCTATACATTTCACCCAAATACCCCTGTGTTGAGCCCAATTACTTTAGTTAGTCCAAAGCATTTCAGTCCTCAGGAGACTAAACTGTGAGCCTCAGGCAGAGAACAGGAGAGACCAAGGTGCCACTAATGCCAGAGGCTCCTGCAATGGCAGGGGATTGATTAGGTGAGATATGCCCAGATGATCCCACCAGGCAAACCATGCCTCAGACTGCAGAGGAACATGAATAAGGGACATGGATGGTAGAGTTGTAGGAAAGAGATCTCTATTGAACATGCTGGGAGACCAGTATTATGTGCGGAAGTTCTAGAGTTGGTGTGAAAGCAGTCTGGTTCAGCCAGCATTCCTGAGCTCCTTGGTGCCACACTGAACTACGTCCCTCCTGAAATCTGACCCTCTTTCTCAGGTCCACTCATCATACTACAAAGCAGCATGAAAAATTAAGTATAAACTTTTAGTTTTAGTTGGGAAGGTCTAAATATTATCATTTAGGTCACACTTTATATAAAGAGGATACATTTCTAAGTAGTTGATACACGTTTAATAGATGTTATAAGCATCTACAGACATGAGTGGCATGTACTAAAGATGGTTATAAGCATATCAGTAGAAGGCATTATAGGTGATTATGAGCAACCTGTTGACTTGTGGGACTCTAACAAATGGTTAATCAATTGTTATAACATCTATTCATCTATTTGTAAACTACTTATAAATGTTCCCTTCATGTGACGTGTGACCATTATTTATACAGCACCATCCAGGGGCCTGGCTCTTTACAGCCATACATGAGGCAGATGATAACATAACAATGGCATAATGGCATTGTTGCAAAATGCATTATTAAAAAGAGGCCAGAGAAATGCACCTACCTTGCACTGTCTGAGGGTAGGATTGAGTGATAACAGGCAGAGACGGCTCTTCTAGTACCTCCTCTTTGGGCTGTGCGTCCCCTCCGTTGTCCTCTGGCTTAATACATTTTTGCAAGAACTGAGATGCCCTCTTGGGGTTTACATCTGCCATTTCGCTCTGAAGGGTGGAAAGACAATGATCATTAGAACAACGACGAGGAACGTGGTCCTGCACTTCTGACTTAGGCGATTGAACAGTGGACAGCTGGATAGGGGCCAGATTCTGTTCTTGGTTCCATGGGATTTACAGTGGTGTAAGCAAGATCAGAATGTGGCCATGGTTCTCCTCTACTATGGATATTACCTCCAGGTAATGACTAGCAATAACATAATGCCTGTCATCCGTGAATTTCACAGCACTTTGCAAAGCGAGTCAGTATTGTTACTGCCACACATCTGTGCCACTGTATTTGTAGATTTGAAGATCACTGCAATCATCTAGTTGGAGCTACTATATAACACAGGGCGTGGAATTTCACCCAGTAATTCCTGCAGTGGAGGGAACTGATCTTCCCTGTGAAGACAAGACTGCAGTCTGTTCTGTCTAGATGCTCAGATATTGCGGTGATGGGCAGCCATATAAGAACCCAAGCAAATAGAACAGTAGTATAAACAGGTGCATAGCAGGGCTAGCCATAGGTCAGTCAAAGGAAAACCTCTGTAAGAGATCCGATGGGTGGGGTTTCCTTGAATGGCAAAGGATATCTGTTCTGATTTCCTAGCACTGAGGAAATACTGACTTCTAAATTCCCCCTTACCTCCCACCTTCAGTCATATTCAAAAGCTAAAAACCAGCATTCTATCTATGTCAATATCAGAAGGGATGCTTACAGCAGCCATTTATTTAAACAGGTGATCTTTAAAGCAGCTGATATCTACAACTGCACTGCAGCACTCCATGCAAGGAGGAGGGGCCATTTGGCAACAACCTGCAAAGACCAACAAGCCTTGAAGGCATCATAAATCATCAATGTAAATATCATTTGGACGGAGAGCTTTGCAATCAGGAATCTGTTGCGTCACCTATAAAACACTTGCCCATATGCGCTCCATATAGTGCAGATTTTAGAGGAAAGCTGCATGTCAAATTATGTAGCATTTCATGGGTGGCTAGGAATACCTATTTGTTATTTTACAATCACGAGATCTCATGACATCATTAGATACCATGGTGATAGATGCTATATAAAAACCTAAGCTAGGTCATCTTTGACAGCAAGAAGAAAAGAGAGCAAGACCTATTTTCAAGCCAAAATTGCAGTCTCGGCATGGTTTGCACCTGTTTCAGCCTGTCTTTTTAAAGTCCAACCCAGGCTTATCTCATTTGCTAATGCCTCCTCATTTCTTCCTGCCCTCTGCTGCTATTTATTACTGCAACTGCATCATTTAACCCTGCAAAACCTTCCGAGGAGGGGAGGACATGCCGCTTCCATGAAAGGTGCTGCACAATGCCATCGAGAGTTGCGTTGTATTGTTAAAGATGACAGTGGAAATAACCGAAGGGGTGACGTCACATTTAAAAACCTCCAGCTGGTCGTATGCAGAGGCTGTAGTCAAATAAGCTCTGCCTGGAAAATAATTTCAAGGTTAATTTGCTATAAGAATCTCGATTTTACCTCCCCTGGTTTAAAACAGATGATATGTCCAGCACAGAAAAATATACATCGTGCATAGACTGAAGCAAGGCTTAGACAAATGAAGAAACAAGCAGGCATATGACAGTGTATACTCACTGCTTTGTTACCATGGGCATAATACAGGCTGGTGGGTTGTTTGCAGTCTCTGAGCTCTGTGCAGTGAAATGGGATAGCTAACCTTTCATCTGGAAGTAATTCATTTAGGGCTCCTCTCAAAAGTTCACACTGGGATGAAAAGTGATCTGAACTTAAATGGATGTATTCTTGGATGCGAACGAAGCTGCAGGCACGTCAGAGCACAGATGCTGCATACAAACTTATGCTTGTGTACAAATGGGGGAGGCAGGGGGGACTTACGGTTCACATTTATAATAATACCTCTGCATCTTCAAAGGACTGTGCAAAATAATCCAATTAATCATTAACTATTTCAACATCAAGGGATGAATTCTGCCCTTGGATACCCAATTAATAAGAAACAAATTTTAAGTGTGGATAATTAGCCATTGGAAAAAAATCCCAAAGGGAATGGTGATTCTTCTTCAAATGCTGGTCCCTATGTATATTCGACATATGGGTACACATGCACACCATGCCCCTGAAACCGGAGATTTCTAGCAAGTAGTGTCCATTGGTGCACACCTGTGCAGTTGCCCTCCTTGTGCTCTGAACTAAGGTCACTAGGGGATCAGCGCCTCTACAGTTCCTTCTCACCGCCACATGGTCTGAGTTGGAATCCTGTGCCTGTAACTACCTCTGCGTCTTCTTCTTCCAAACCTGTAAATATAATTGTACATAGTTTTTAATATTCTTAGTGTTGTTAGAATTTTAGCATTATAGCATGGTTAGTATAGCTTAGTTTTGCCCGCTGACAAAGACTATGCCCGAGTCCTGGGGTATAAGAACTGTATCTCCTGCCCCTCCTTCTTCTCCAGGAGAGATGGACACCAGCACTGCCTCTGTTGCCTTGGAGAGGTCACATCTCTGCTAAGTACAGCATCTGACACTTCCCCCCCCCCCCCAAAACCTGCAAGGGACAAGAGCTCCGACTGAAGAAATACCTTATGGAAAAGGCCATGAGACCTCAGTTGGATCCCAGCCAGGGAGACAAGCACCCCCGCCCCCACCTCCCCCCATACAGCAGCCTCAGCCGATGAGCAGAGCCCCTTGGAGCATGAACTCAGGAGCGAAGGCCAGAGCTACTAAGGTCAAGGAATCATTAACAGGAATCCCTGCTATTTTAGACTATCTCTTGTCCCTGAAGACATCAGGGCTTTCTGTTCGTTCACTGTGGGTCCGTCTAGCAGAAATCTGGTAGAAGACTACTCCATTTTTACTAACCCAACAACCACTGGATTCCTGAAAGGTCTCGTTAGGACCTTCCCAGTGATGCTGAAACCTACATCAAAATGGAACCTCATCTTAGTACTATTAATACTTACCAGACCAGTCTTTAACCGTTGGCCATGTATTCAGTGTCCCGCCTCTCCATGAAGATTGCCTTCCCTAGTTGCCATCACATCAGCCAGATGGGTGAGTGAACTAGGAGCCCTCATGGCTGACCTGCCATATACGATTTTTCATAAGGAGAAGGTTTCCCTTCAGCTACATCTGAAATTCACCCCCAAGGTAATTTCTGAGTTTTATATGAATCAACATATTTACTTACCAGTATTCTTTCCAAAACCTCATATTCCAAAGAGGAGAGGAGACTTCACTTTCTTGATATCAGATGGGCTTTGGCATTTTACCTGCAAAGAACAAAACTGATTAGAAAATCACCAAGGTGATTTGTCGCTATAGTGAAGCAATTGCGAGGACAACCATTATCTGCTCAGTAACTCTCTAAGTAGATTTCTGGCTGCATCATTCTTTGTTATCAGTTGGCACATATTCCAATTCCTCCCCCGGATGGGAGCCCACTCCACTAAAGCACAACCATCCTCAAGAGCATCCCTTCAAGAGGTACCCATACTAAACGTTTATAGGGCAGCTACCTGGAGCTCCATCCATACATTCACGAAACATTATGCATTAGTCCAGGCCTCCTCTGCAGATTCAGCTGTTGGTACAGCAGTATTATAGACATCTATTCCAACTGCATCCTTGTTGGAGAGGTGTCGGTCCGCACTACCATTTATGCCTTCGGTTTGGAGCATGAGGAGGACAACTGTCCAGGCGCAGACCAATGGACACTAATTATTAGAAATCTGTCTCATGGAGTGCATGCATACCCTCCTGTGGACTATAGATAGAGACCACACATCTCAAAGAATCTCCTGTTACAGATAAGAAACCTCTGTCTTCTCCATCTCGTAAAGTCTTCCCATCAAGACTGGATGACTTTCTGGAAGAGATGCTTTAGCCAAATACTTATTTTGGGGCTCAATCCAGGAGTAACTGGATAAAATTCTATGGCCTGTATTATTTGGGAGGTCTGATTAGATGATCTAGAGGTCCCTTCTTACCTTAAAAATCTGTGAGTTTGTGAAACCCAGAATTTGGCTTTAACTAATTAATACAGGACATGTTGCTTTAATTAAATATCCCTTAATATATGGAGACATACTTATCTCATAGAACTGGAAGGGACCCTGAAAGGTCATTGAGTCCAACCCTCTGCCTTCACAAGCAGGACTAAGTACTGATTTTGCCCTAGATGGTCCCCTCAAGGATTGAACTCACAACCCTGGGTTTAGCAGGCCAATGCTCAAATCACTGAGCTATCCCTTCTCCCCTTTATCTAGTAAAAGCGATAGCTGTGGTCTACTGTGCAAGGCTTAGGACTGGGAGGCAGGATCATTGAAACCACGCAAAGCCTCATCAAAATCCATGGCGAGTCTCCTCAAGTGCAATGATTCCTTAGGCTCTCATGCCGTCAGTCCAGTTGCAGGCACGGGGTCCAACCTATTATGTCAATCAAAGAGTATATCGAATGAAGGCCCAATCCTGGGAATTGCCACGTGAACTCAACTCACAGTGACAGGGAGAATTGATAGTGCCCAGCTCTCTGCAGGATATTTAGGGATAATCTTTCCTGTAGCTGTGCATAAAAAAAGGCTACAATCTCATCAGAAGGGTTACTACCAGAGCAAAGTGTGCATTGTATATGATATACATCAAGAATGATGGTTTTTAAGCAGAAGTCAGCATTGTTGTTGATGGAGATATGGTCTCATAATATCAGAATATGCGTTTTCTGCATACAGCTCCAGTGGCCAAAGGATTTTGAATTACTTTACGAGTTCAGCCTAGCAACATACAATCTGCTTGTAGCCCAAAGAAGACGGATGGTCTTGTGGGAAAGGCACTGGCTTAGGACTCAGATCTAGGTTCAGTGGCTGGTTCTGCTACACACTTACTGTGTGACTTTGCACTTAATTTCTCTAGACCTCAGTTGCCCATCTGTAAAATAAGTCTGTAAGACTTTCTTATAGTAATGGGGTAACCAGTGTGGCCTAATGGTTAGAGTATGGGCTCTTCACTCAGGAGACTGGGAGTCTGTTCGTGGCTCTGCCGCTGGTTGCTGGGTGGCCTTGGGCAAGTCACTTCACCTCTCTGAGCCTCAGGGTCCCCATCTGTAAAATGGGGATAACGATACCAAACTCCTTTGTAAAGCGCATTGAGATCTACTGAAGAAGCTTGCTAGATAAGAGCTGCCTTTGGATTATAAACTTTTGGGGGCAGGGACTGATTCTTACTTTGTGTCTGTACAACACTTAGCACCATGGGGCCCTGATCTCCTTTGAAACCTTTCGGTGCTACCCTAATACAAATAATAAATAATAATGATCATTAGTACTTATCACTGGAATGCAGCCACCTCTGGGCTGGAATGCTGGGCAGCAACACGTAGTACAACAGCTGAGGACTGAAAGTGAAGAATTAAAGGAATCCTCACTTTCTGTTTTCTGCAGCTGTACGGTGCTTATGAATAGTATGTATTCTTAAATGATTCATTTGGCATTCATTTTTACATAATAGATTCACACAGACATTGTACAGTAACATATATTCATTGTAGATTTCTGTCAGTACATTTTTTTAATAACTGTTTTTCTTTTATACTCTTCCCCTTGTCAGAAACGATGACCTACCTAACTACAGTATTCCCAAGGCAAGGTTTCTCTGACCTCTACAGTGCTAAACAGAGGGACTGAATGTCTGCACTCAGTCATGCAAATGGGGTCTTCACTGCCACAGAGAAATCTGTACAGCTGAAGAATGGCAGAGGACATTAAAATAAGCAAAATCAAAACCAAAACAATACCTGACACACTGGAAACATTAACATGAATCTTTGCAAATAAATCAGTTGTTTGCAGTGTTATTGGTCCCAGGATAGGAGAGAGACATATAGGTGAGGTAATCTTTTATCGGCTCACCCTCTGTTCATGAAAGAGACAAACTTTTGAGCTTCCCTGAGCTCTTCTGGTCTGCAAATAAATCTGTCCAGTGCTTTAGACCCCGGGGAGTGCAGTTCACGTGAGCATGTGACTTGCAACTCTGTGGGCATGGAGTGTGTCTGGCCTCGTAAAGCTTTGCCATACCAGAGGATTGAGATGCACAGTTCTCTCAGTTTCCTAACATATTTGTAATAGAAGTGGTGGCATTGGAATAAATTCAAGCAAAAAAATATTTAGGTCTCCATTTGCAAAGGAGTAACCCCAGAATATTATTTGGTCTAATTTATCCAAGCATTTGGAAAGGAGCAACCCTAGCATGGAACTTGAATAGAATCTATCCTGCCCTACCCTATCCATTTGCAAAGCATCGGCCCCAGATTTTCATGGTTACCGACCTGAAAAAAATTGTAAGAAGGAGATTTTAAAAAGGGGGGAAACATCCAACAAACTGACAAGTGATCAGGCAGCACAATCCATTCACTGAAGTCCTTTTGTCCCAACCCTCCCACCTCCCTGCTCTCTTCGGCACTTTCTGGCACTCTCAGTTTAGTACCTACATTCCCTCACACACACACTATGTAGATATGTTGCATATAGGTTATCTGCATAACCATATATGCCCCTGCACATAAATACAAATTATATGTATCTATCTAGGGAATAAAGGTATTTAGATGTGTGAATGCCTATATGGGGGCATGTGTGTGTTTTTCTCTCTTTAAGGGTCCCTCCCTCTGC